CTTACAAGAAGTGTTGCATCTACTTTCATCGAAATCTTTCTCAATCGGGCTTCTGACTAGCAGACCCTACTTTCTTCCTCCAAGCTCCATCGGTCATCAGGATAGCACCTGATCAATATTCCGGATCACAATCTTTGCTTACCCAATGCTATACCAAATGAGAAGGGGACTACTAAAATAGGTTATATGAAAAGTAGTCCCGAAGCTTTGTTTATATACGAAAAATAACTAAGATAGGTCATCATAGCCTCAGTTAAACTAAAAAACATATTTCATATATAAAGATCTTAAATTTGATCGAGATCCCCCTTACCTGTATAGTCATAGTTTGAGCTAGTTTTCACAACTTTGTTAGGGCGACAAGGAGAGCTTGTGGAAGACACATAGCTCTGTGTTCTCTGCCCGAATACTCATGATAGTTTCCAGCATCCGACTGCGGACTTGATACACTTTCAGGCGTTCCGCAGGCGCCGTAGTCGTCCTCCTTACTTACAACGCGTCAAAGTGACAAAAGAAGGCAATATCCTTGACCAATTGTCTGTTCGACGGTTGAAATGCTATCAATCTGTCGGTTTAAATTGTCCGGCAACTTGAATGCTTAATAAGTTGCACAAAAACTACTGTTCATGGGTAAAATACTAGTAACCGACAGCAAGGAGTTATCATTATTCCCAGCATACAAGAGGCAAATAACATTATTATATTCTGTTTATTCGTATATTATTATAAACAGAGGCCAAATGTTGCTCGGCTGGCCAGACTTTCCGCGTACAATGTGATTCAACCGACACAAGAGAACATGGCGCAATGGCGAGACGCCACTACGTCGTCAGGCTGCATGACCAACATGCGTCCTAAAGGCAGACACGCCGTTCTCTCAACTCCGAGCCAAAGTTACGATCCCTGATTAATTTGGCTAATTCAAAAATGAGAAATAGCTCCCTTTTCCAATTCATTTTGTCACATTCGGATTGTCATATTCGGATTCACTTTGGCAGCTCTTCTCCAGCTCTTGCACACAGGCCATATTGTATTTAACCAGCATACGTTTTAGAACAGACAAGATTTTCAATCAATCAACAAAGTGGATAAAATTAAATGCATGAGAAGTTATGCACAAAGGATGCATGTTCTTCACTTGCCCTTCCTTAGTTTGGAGATAAAAGTCCCCAAACCCCTCTGTCGTTTCCCTTTGTCTTTTCCTGCTTCCAGGCAGATTCTTCCTGCGTAATTGAAGCTAACTACCTTGTCTAGCCACTCAGGGGCAGGTTTTCGTTCAGAATTGTAGAAAATGCGTAAATTTCAGACTTCACTTTGCCTTGATTCTGTTTGGTTTTAAAGTGCTTGCCAAGCTTCGACTGGTAGGCACAAGAAATGTGTCACTTATGTAAAATTAAGTTAACGGAAGCCCAGAAGAAAACACACAAAATGCCAAGACATGATAAAAACGAACCGTCTGCAGAAAAACCGGTCAAATTTTGCACCAGATGAAGGTCTTATACAGATGCTAATGTCCATCACAAAATATATATTACTTACTCTATTATTTTAGTGTATCCATTTACATATACATTCTTATTACAATATATACTTGATATGTTTGCTCCATCTTCCTGGCAACTTTGCATAAATGAGTCCATTCAAGTGCGAATAGAGGCTAAGTGTCGGGACAATTCGCACAAGTCGAGTATTCCGGGGAAAGTGTGTAAGCTGAATAGGCAGTATGAAAAGAAATTAATGACATCGCGAAAGCTAGACCCTATCCAGGTCTCATCAATAGCCAGTAGTGTTTTTGTAGCCTAGAAAGCAGCGCTCAGAAGTAATCTGAAGTGAAATGTGAAAAAGGGAATTTCAATGGCGTCTTCACGTCTACTGATTTCATTGTGTGAAACCTCAACTATCAGTCCTTAATTAGCCTTAAGCGAGCTAGAGTGACTAAGCTCTAATACGAGAATGACTGATGGTAGAGAAAACTACGCGAATCGAAAGTAAGTAATCTCTATTATTTTAGTGTAAATGTTACGGGGTCAGCATGACCTTCAAAGCGAATACGGTGCCTCTCAATTCGCATTGAATAGCAATTAAATTATATCTTGAATATGAACAGTAGTCGACCTAGTTCGATTAAATTGATAGAGAACGACAGAGGTGAGGTCAAGGTTACAGTCCCCTCCGGAGGAGAATGCCTTTTGGGAAAGAAAGCTAAAGGAAATCCACTGGCATCGGGAGATCTACTCTTATCATTGTGAAAAATGCAATAGTAACCCTTCGCCACCTTAAGTTGCTTAGCAAAGTTACACTTCTTAGTCAATTTTTTTCCTGTATAGCAAAACTGAATCAAGTACATTTTTAAGGACTGTGCCTTAATTACTTAATCATATGCATAGAAACATGTAATTTCTTTAAGGTTAATACAACCTGAGTTGGACTTGCCCGGGGTGAAACCACCAATTTTGGGATTTGATTCTGAAAGGCCTCAACTTTAGCTTGTGGTGATCGCTTCAAATGATTAAACGTTATAAGATCGACCGAAACTATCAGTCGGCTATGGAAGCCCCACATAACTGAATAAGTTAAAAGTGGGTTGACCTTGTTGTCGCAACTTGGTCTTGTTTTCAGGGAGACCATGTAGAACGCACCTAGT